TGTAGCAGCGGCTCGTGGAATGACGTCCGAACCCTGCTGCATCAGACTTCCAACTGCAAACCATAAACTGTTCAGAATTGTAAACTGGTTTTTCCGATCATCCATGCTTCTATCTCGGCCGTCTATTTGTTGGATATCGTACCTGTAATTAGAACATTAGGAATCAGTTGAACAATGCAGCTGTGGTCACAGGTCAATTCCGTCGGTTACTTACCAACTTGGTCTCGTTCTCTAAAAGCGGGTGGTATCATAAAAAGAACCCTATAAAGTAGGAAAAAATTCTGTTAGAAAACTTCAATATTATTTGCGTGAAAGCTGATTAAATTTCACTTACTCATATTAATTCGAAAACGTTAAAACTACGTCGAGTTATTCTTGAAACATTGGAAGCATCGGCATAGTCAGGATTTTTTGGAAAACTGAGGCTTGCCTGGATCCTATTCTAGCCCTATTCTTGCTAGAACCATCGTTTCTTTGATTAAATGTGTGGGAAATTCCTCCGGACTGTTAATTAATGCTAATTACTTAGAATCATTGAAATACAGTTTTATCCAATTGTTATGCGAGTTGCATTTGCAAACGATGTTGTACTGCGCATTAGTCAATAATTACCTCAAAAACGCTTTTCAAAGCCGAAAAAATTATAGCCAGGCCGTCTCAGGTTATAAGGTTTGCAATGACGCTGGCTTTGCGAAAACTACTAGTTAAGTGCTTAATCTGTTTACCATTCATATGGACTAAATTTAGCAAGCAACCACATAGTGCTCGATACGACGAGATAGGCACCGGCAAGCGATATCCAAGCCCCAAACGAGAGTGGCTCAAGAAATGTGAATAAGTGTTTCTTTTCGCTGTCGATCGGATCTTTGGCTAACAGAATCGATATGCCAAGATGCATAAAAGGCAAGGTAAAATCTAAAAAAAAACCAGTGATAAAGTCTATGTGGCACTTGAAAACAGCCATGTTTTTGAAATATCATTATCAAATTGTGGAAATATAGTTGAAGCAGGGCTATCAGTCAATAATTTGATCATTGTGGAACTGACTGGTCTGAATTTGATGCAGTATGCTATATTTTCTTATGAAAGTAATTTTTTCATCAAGAATCACTCTATTGTGCATTTGCTAATAGATGGAATTAACAATTCCGACAAGTAATGAGTTGATTTGTAACTAAACAAAAGAAAAAGAGAATAAAAGAAATTCACCAAGTTAAACAACGTCTTTTCTAACACTGGCGTTGTACCATTTACGAAATTCGCACTTTCAAACTTCACTGTATTACCATTTCTCTCGTGTGGAAGTGGCAAATGTAATACCACACTTACTAGCTGAGTGTCAAAAAATTAATAGTAGTTCGATAAACCACAAAATAACGCTTTGTAAAAATCATTGGCGATGTGTACTGAGCAGGCCCGTGCGATCATGCATTTTTTCAGTATTTCATGCTGTAAAGAGACCGCTCGGAAACCTAATAGCTAGGATTTATGACGTACTGGCCCTTGAAGCTCGGGAAGTTAATTGTCTGGGGGATACTTGGACAGGGAACATTCCGTTAGAATTTCAGCTTTCCAATTTCTCTGGTTCTTGAGTTAGCAATTTTTATGCCAAAAAATTTCATGGGTCTGTACCGCGCATGCGCGGGGGCTGAATTTGATAAATATGTGTTATGCATTTGCTGAGAACGTTCCTTGAAAATTTCAGCTTTCCAGCTTTCCTGGTTCCCAAGCTAGCGATTTTCGCGCCAGGAACCCTCACGGGGCCGTATGCGGGTGCCACACGCACTTGGGGGCTGAATCTGAAATTTCAAAGTCCTATGTGGATGGGGAAAATAACCTCTCATTCCCGAGTTATTAATTTTCCCGCCAAAACTTTCACTCTTTCGTACACAGGCCCAGACTTGCGTGAGGACTTGTATCGAGGTTCTGGGGTGGCATTTGGCCGGGGGACCCACTGGCAAAATTTTGGAGCCGGAGCTTGCTGGGTTGACGAGTTGAAATACCCGGACAGACGAATACACACAAATCATACATACATACACACACACACACACACGGGTCGTCGTAATATGCGTTTTTGCATCTGCATATAAGCAAAAACGCATAATTAATGATGATCTCCAGTAATGCGCTTTTGCATATATGCAAATCCAGAAACGCATGTTGTAAAGACCCATGGTGTGCGTGTGTGTGTGTGTATCCGGGTATTTCAACTCGGAAACCAAGTAAGCTCCGGGCAAAAATTCTGCCAGTGGTTTTCCCGATCAGTTGCCATCCCAAAGTCGCGGCACCTATTTTCACGCACTGCCGGGCCCCGCCTACGAGCACGTGTAAGTTTTGGCGAGAATCAGAAAAGCTGGGAGACTGAAATTTTCAGGGTTGTTTTTCGTTTACATAGAACTGAAAGATTTCGAATTCAGCCTCCAAGTGTGCGTGGCTCTCAAGTATGGCCCGTGAAAATTTATGGCGAGAAAATTGCTAACTGGGGAACCAGAAAAGCTGGAATTTTGAGGAGATTTTCCTCGTCCAGGTGGAATGCAGATTTAATCCTCAGGTGTGCGCGATTCTCATGTATGACCTTATGAAAATTTTTGGCAGGAAAATTGCTAACTTGGAAACCAGAAAAATGGAAAAGTAAAATTTTGACGGAATGTTCCCTGTCCAAGTATCACATAATTGTACGATTAACTTCTTGAACCTCGAGGACCAGTATGTCTCAAATTCTAGCTACTGAGATTCCAAGCTATGTTACTACAACACGAAATACTGCAAAAAGCATGATTGCCTGGGCTCGCCTGGTGCGCGTCGCCAAGATTATATAGACGGTTTAGATACAGCTTTGCTGTCATTAAAAAAAGTAAGTTGTGCAACTCAGGAACCGCTTATTATTTTGTAGGTTTTTTGATAATATTGTATTCAAGGCCTGCAATGGCATTTTAGTATTATTACTTCTCCAAGATGTTATTCTTTATTCTTCTCAAAACGTTTCTTTTTTTCTCAACTAAATCATAGAAAGTAGTACCAATAACTTCTGATCTGCTGTAAGTGATGGTAACGGCAGATACCGATAGATCAGCTTCTCGGCGCTGCAGCACTCCTATTATCCCATTCCACTTCCCATTTTCATCCTGAATTTAGCTGGGTTAATTAATGTCTTTCTAATCCCAAGTGTTTCGACGCAGCCGCTCAAGATCTGAAATACAAATTTACAGAGTCAGGAGCAAAACTGACCCCTCCGTGTGTTAATGACCAGACTGTTGGTGCTTGTGCAAGCACTTCTGAACACAGTGATCCTGCTTTTTAGTTGCAGTTGGGGCTTTGAAATACCACTTTATCAAGCTACTGTTTGTTAGGACCCAAATTTCAGTACAAAGTACAATGACTGAAAACAGAAATTTTGGTTTTTTTTCTTTTAATTTTCGGCCTTGCAATATGGATCGAAAGGTCAAAAAAAGTTTTTTCAGGATCAGAATTGAAGGGCCTGAAATAATTAAGCCCGGCACATGGGAGCATCCCAATAACATCGCTAATATCGAGCAATCTTGATGTTCTTGGTCTGTGATCACAGATCACCATTCATTTTTATGCGTTTTTGCATATATGTAAATTGCAAAAACGCATATTGGGAAGAGGCTGTCT